TTTATGCAGAGATTATAAATCTAGTCCTGAAGTTTAACACGGATCTTTTTTTATGTTGAATGAGGTGTCACAGGCTCTTATTAGCCTTTCAAGGTTTGCTTAGATGCCAGTGTAATTAAAACATCCTTTGGCACATGACCTCGTGCCTTCATGATCACAGGCTGCTGTGTGTGTTCATGTGCATGTTACACAGCAACGCTACCACCACCCACCAAGGACTCACAAACACTACACCATTTTGTCCAGTAATTTTAGGGGCTTCTGCAAGCAAAGGACTATTTTTTATAGTTATTGGCACTACTGTAAAGCCCTGACCAGCTCTCAGCATTGTATTTGAAGCTCTACTAGTACAAAGTCATTATTTTCTCTACACTTCCCCTTGGAAGAACCATTTTCAGAGTCTGTAGAAACACATCTCAGAGTTTATGCTAACTTGGAAAAGATGTTCTTTAAAAACCATATATGGCAGCATGAACAGCTAAAATCCAAGGGATAATCTGATAAGACGATCAATAGCTAGAGAGATCCATCTACTACAGCTGCAAACATACAGGCTGTTGGTTTTTTTTTTGTTGTTGCTGGTTTTGGTTTTGGGCTTTTACATTTAAACCTCCACCTACATTTATGACACTTCTGCCCTCAAAAGAATGAAAAAGATGCTGGTGAAGAGCAGAATGAGTGCCTTAATTAGTGGGCCACAGACTGCCCTGAGCACCCAGCAGCTCCTACTGAGGAATGCACTTGTTCTAAGTGCATGGCCTAGCTCCTAGACTAAAGGATAAAGACTTTGCACTCTTTCTTCAGTTATTCATGACTATTTGTTCCAAGTGGAATAACCAAAGAGAGTGCATTTCATTTCAGGATATCCTATGAGCAACCACTTTGGAGATCTGGATTTCATTCACATCCTAACTCCAAACAAGGTACAGGACGGTGCTAATTTGTGTGTTTTGCTTGCCCATTAGTTCATTTTGACAGAAGACTTTGTCTGCTTTCTGTTGGACCAGACTTTTTCAGTATGTTCTGCAATCACTTGCTGGTTTGGGCCCCACAGAGATGCAGGAAACACCTGCTATGCAACTTCTTGAGGGCTTGCTAGGCAAGTAGCTCACTGTTGCTAGGATCTGAATAGTTACTTCACTAATTATTGCCACAAAGCGAATTCAGGATTTTCATTAGCAAGGAGCCAAGTTCGTCCGGCTCATACCACATGCCAACAGACTCCCGTTATTCCACGTTGAGGGAAGTCTTCATGTCTGTAGTCAGTAAAAAGGGAAAAAACTGATAAAAAAATAGGAGGAATTGTTATATTTATTATTATTATTATTATGCGGTATTAAGGATTAGAATTAGTCCCAACATCCCTCAAGCTTCCTCTTACAGGTTTTTTTTTTTTAATAATGAAACTTCTCAAACTTATTTGCATGGATTTTAGATATGCACTTATGATCACACACAAACTTCAAAACAATATAAAAAAGAAGATCTGTTAAAGTTATTAATTTCTGAATATTGCATATAATTCATTTGTAGCCAGGCTGCAGTCATGTGAAGATAAAAGCCTGATGGCTTCAGCATGAATTATAAGAACCATACTAATTTTCACGTTGAGGAACCTCTCCCTTTCTCAAAGACTGGCTACTTTGGAAACTAAATTGTACTTAGCTTCGTTTAATACTAATAACATTGCCTGCTGAACCTTGACTAGAAAGCATAGGTTATAAAAAAGAAATCTCAGTGTCCCAAAGACTGATCACATCTTGGATCTCACATTGTTGGTTGAACCTTTGAAAATTTTGCACTTCACTGCTGGTGCCTTACTGCTATGGTCCTTCTTTACCTGTCGGGAAGATCGACTTTAAGAGATAAAAGGATTTATAAAATGTAGGTTCAGCACAAAAATCAATGCGTCAGAACTTGCTTGAGAGGAAGAATAGATGTGTTTCTGGACAGCTGGCTCCGATTCCCTGGTAAGCAATCAAAGTGATTATTGCTCACTGGAGATAACAAATGAAAAGGAAAAAAAGTGAACAGTGGACTGTGCTGGAAACTCATTAAATGTTCACATTACACAGAGTATGCAATGAGTGGAATTTCATTATTAGTTTTAGATTTCAGTTTTTTCATTATTAATTTTACTATTAGTTAACTTGTATTATGGATGTCTAAAGGTTCAACTTAATCAATGGACAAAATAAAAAAAAGTGGAATCAGGCTATTATTCTAGATAGCAATTTTAACCTAAATTAGTAAAACAGTTCTCAGGTGAACAAAATCACCTGAGACTAAAACAGCTCTCAGTTTAAAGTATGTGAGTAGGAATATTGTTCCTCACTAGGAGAATGCATTTTCAAAAGAGCTATTTGGGAAAATCTCCCTCTGGAATGTGAATGACTTCCACCAATGAACTGCCTGAGCTTATGATGCTGTCAACTACTGCCGGTTAGGTACCACCATGGTTGTTCACTTTCATGTGGAATTAGAAATAGAATTCCATAAATCATGAAGAAAATGGCTTAGTCCAGAAGAAAATTTCTCCCTCCTTCAGACAAAACTGGACAGTGAGGAAACAGTTACGCTTCTGGGAACAGATTGTGTGGCTTGAAGTTATCCTTTTAACAAATGCAAAACTTATAAAAAAAGGACAGGCTATATTGCTTATATTATTGCCTGATTATTTCCAAATGTTACTTAACAGATTTGTGGAACTGTTGAACTACTGTTCTATCTCAGCTTGTCTTTCTGCACTATGGAAGAAGAATAAACAAGAGGACCTAGTACAGGCTCTGGCTAAGACACATGTCTAAATACATTACAAGGTAACAGCATGGTTGAATACAATTAAATTCTTGTCTATCATGTCGCTAAATCAAAGAACTACTGTAAGGTTGGTAAACTGCACAGGTGATTACAGTGAAACATTTGATACAGCACTACAACTTATTTTAAAAGATTATCATGCAAAGCCAATACAGAACCCAGGAAACAATAGTAACAATAATTAGAAATAAACTAAAAAAATTTTTTCTTAAGTTAAAAATACCATTTATGAAGTAGCAATAAACAGTTAATAGGTTACGAACGGCCAGCTACAAATCTCAAAAGGGAAAATACTTCTTTTTAGCAGCATATATGCAGAAATCTATTCCTGCCTCAGTACTTTTCAACTGTGTCATTAAGTAACGAATATAGAAGCCTTCCAACTGCTAATTGTGGCTTACTATTTACAAAGTTTATTTATAAACTCATTTTCATGCAAGTATAAAATACTAATTCCATGGACAAATACACATTTGTTCATCACTCTAAATTATATACATTGTATTTGCATCTAATATTCAGAGAAGTGCAAAGTCCACAGTGATGTAAATAACAATAGTTTTGTAAACTATCAGACGACGAGCTCTTAAGAGATATCAGTAACTGTATGATAACATACTTTTTTTGTATACTGCTGAAATCAAACATTTTTGCAGTAAAACAACATACATTTCAGCTACATTCAAGTGATTATTTTATTACCATATATTATGACTTAAAAACTTTAGTGGAGATGAGCAAGAGCACTACAAAACCATTTAATGCAAGAGGTGTACTGCATGGTATGTGCAGGCATAGCAAAGGACAGACAAGAACTGGAAAGAAAAACAAGCTAAGGAAACTTGTACAAAAATGGACAGTAATACTGACTAACACTGGGTTATAATCTTACTTGTAACAGACCTGAAAGGCTAATAGAGATCCAATTCAGAAACACCTGTGCACTGTAGTTACAGTTTGGTGCAGATCAAGAGTGCACTAATACAGTCAATGTTGTACGCATAAGATAATGCACAAAATACGCTGATATGCATATAAACAACTAATTTGTTTACAGTAAATAGGGCAGCACAGTTGTAGCACTGCACCCTTGGCACTTAGTGATAGGACAACACGTATTTGGTTTAACTAAATTCATAAACAGGATATATACTGGTTTGTAAGATGTAAAACACATTATCCCTTTGAACCTTCTGGTTTTACAGCATTTTCCTAATTTTCAAGTTCAAACACAAACACAATACACTAACTAGATATGGAAGACGTTTCAGATTTGGAGTAAAAAAAGACCTCCAATTAAAAACAAAGGACAGAAACTCAAATTAATTCAAATTACATTATTTAGATCTGTTACTGATGTCTTATGCTGAAAAAAGAATCCGAAATGTTTTTGTTAAATAAACAAAAAAAGCAACCTTGTAATACAACCCACAATGTCTTTATGGGCTTTTCCTGAACATTAATTGCTTCCTTAATGTCCCTTTCATATATGGTAATTTCACTTAAAAGAACTGCTGAAGTTATTCATCTGAAAAGTTGTAACTGAATTAGAGGTTTGGTTGTAACTGAATTAGAGGTTTGGCCTAGCATATCGTATCACACAGAATGGAAGATAATACGCTTTTCTTCAAAGCAACTATGATTCAGCTACAAAAGGATTCCAATTTTAAGTGATTGTCTTTTATTTAAACTATATTAACAACTATCAGGAGGGAGCCAATTAGGGTTGGGGTTTTTTTTGCCCGTTTTAAACAAACTGGCTAAATTGCCATTTTATATTATATGTAAGAAATGTAATAAAACTGTTCTTAACATATAATGATGTAACACTTTAAAATTAACTGCTTTAAAATATTTTACAAAGATGTTTTATTATATATGACCTATACAACACAAGAGTATGAAATATTTTGAACATATACACATTTCTGTATTTTTCATATAATTATTATTTTGCACCAAACATTGGTGTCTGTAATTCTAACAATCCTTTCAGATAAAAACTAAATGTTTTTGTAGATGTGGGTTTACTTCCTGAAAATAAAGCCTATTACAAGGAGAATTTCTTTAATGACTTTTTAATTTTCCCAATTTCATATTTTGCACAAAGCTTTTCAAATGGATCAACATACATAAAAAGACTAACCTCTCTGTACTTTGCAGTGCAATTTGCTAGTCAAAGTAAATGTCAATACCAATCGCTATTGAGACTCCTTTCCCCCTTATTTAAAATGCAAACCTTTTCAATATCCATTTTAATGAAAATATTTGCATAGAGCAGCCTTGTATTATTTCTAAAGAACATTATGAGCATTTTAACACAAGATAAGGCACATGTTTTTCAGCATTAATAATCTAAAACTAATCCTGAGGATCTGCTCCTCCCCCTCAGCAAAGTTTGCTTTTTTAGTATACCCTGTATTACCTGAAGAAAGCAGAAAAGCAGTACAGAATAAACCAAAACTCTTTACTGAACTAAATTCAGAACAGTAATGACTCTTGATAATAGCATAACAAGTCCACAGATAAAGAATTTAGTCATTATCTGAGCAAATTCTCTTTAGGGGAAAAAGAAAAAAAAAAGATACAGCCAGTAGCACTGTAAATGTTAGACAAAAGTCCACATAATATGGATGACACGTAACTGAGTTTTACTAAATAAGCTCCCATCAGAAACAAGGTAGCTAAACTGTGAGGCACTTAAGGTTGACAAGAAAAGGAGGAATGCAAGGGGTCTGTTTCATAGAAAACCTGAAGTTGCATATCATATCCTTGTATTAAGCCTTCTATTAAAGTGCTAGAAATTGAGAGTTAAAACAAAAGGATTTAAATATAAAAGAAGTGATTAAAGAGCTTAGTATGCATTAAAATTAAGTGCTTTTGATTCTCATTAATTCAGAGCTTTTTAATAGTTTTTAAAAAATAAAGTCTGGAAATAATCCATGTGTGAAATCATCTTTCTTGTGCCATTGATGCTATTTGTAAAGTGCCCAATTATTTTCTAAACAACAAAACCATTTGCCTTATCTTATGTTGTATAGCATGACATAGTCTGTAACACATACGTAATCCATACTGCAATGACACAGTCAATCTGATGGAAAACAGCAAATGCGTACTTTTAATTAGAAGTTTTAATTCCTGCTGTCACTCTAAATAAAGCCAGGTCTTGGATTACACATCCATCAGTATATAGTGCAACCAACCTCGTATTCTCAAAATGTAATTTAGCTGTTAAAGCCCAATGCTCAAAGAGATTTATCAAGCCTTTCCTCAGAGCAGCCTGACGCCCAGACAAAATCACAGATGGAGCTCTAGAACTGAATCACATAAATCCACTAGATGCCAAATCTGAGAAGGATCTGGGTTCTGTCGGATGATGAAGAGGCTGAAGATGTGTGGCAGTCTGTGTGTTACTGATCACATCTAACTGAGAGGGATATGCTTCATTTACATTTCCTCCATTGAAACCATTTTGGAACTAGTGGGAAAAGAGACAATATAAGTGGTTAGAATGGGAAACCGATTTATTTTAATTTTTTATAAATCCTCCTAAAGACACGGATTCAATGAAATCATCTTAAAATACAATGAGTAGCTTTTAAACTTTTTTTTCTTTTTAATGATTAATTATGAGAAGTTAATTTGCATTAAAGTAGGTTCTGAATCATCACTGAAACTTTCCCATGTTGCAGTCAGTCAGAGTCCTTCGTCTGGCTAAGTAAAGAAACGTTGCTATCATCATTTAAAGTGTTGTAGAAAGCACAGTCCGAGCACTCCTGATTTCTACATCCAGCTGTTATATTTTAAAAGCAACTTACTTACATATTTTCATGTCTGCAATGGGATCCAGACTTTACAGCTCTTCCGGGAATGTGCATGCAGTTCTGTGAGTAAGCTGAAATGTACTGCATTCAATCTACAGGCTGAGCTATCACAGGGTGGGCTTTTCTGATAAACGGTCTACATATTGACAAGTAAGAGCAATAACTGGCTTTCGTCAGTCTTGACATAATTGTTCACAGGATTATTTTAATGATCTGATGTAATGTTTCCTGTCATGCTATGGAAAAGTCACTTTATCTACAAAATACTCCAGTCAGTCATGCAAAGAAAATACAGCAAAGTATTTTAAGCATTTCCAACACCTCTTCAGAAGTAGCTTAGACGCTAGGTATTCATTCATTCAAGGTCCGGGCTTAAAAATATATATTATACAATCATTCATTCATCTATCAATATATGCTGGGTATCGGACACTTCTTTTTTTACCTTCTACACAAACATCAAATTTAGTGTGACCAGTTCTTCTAAGTTTTTAACAAGACTATAGCCATATGAATTATGTTTTTAATCAAAGTTGCCATACTTTTAAAGATGGCTACGATAACATAAGCTAGGATTACTTCTGACAGAAGCAGATTATTCCAATATACTTCATTAATAAGATGAGCATACTCATTAAAATTTCTAAGAGTTCTCAACACAGAATCCAGTACTTAGCAATGTTCCTCCTGATTAATAAAGGAATGCTGACCCTAAACAAGTTATTACATTATACAAGGCCATTCTGCCCTTCACCACTGAGAGTGTTTTTAGACTACATTGGCTATGATCCTATCACAATAACAAGTTAGGCAGAAGGTCAAGGCAGATGACTACAATAGACCCTTCTGGCTTTCTAATCCTCTAGTCTTTTCACATTGAAGTTGATGAGAGTAAGGCGGCTGAGAAAAGGATAGCAATTGTGGCTTGCATAACGTCTGTCCTCTCTCCAGACTCCAACTGCTGATAGAGATGTCATTGTGCTAAATCCAGCCACAAAGACTGCCCTACTTTGGTTTGACTGTGTGAACACAGGCTCAGACAGTAGTATCCTATCTGCTTAGTCACATCCTAACTTGAGTTACCGATTAGCAAAAAAATCAAACCTTAAGTTTATTATCATAAGTAGTGATACATTCCATTTACAACAAACAAATGTATATTATTTGCCACCAATTTACAAGATTACTTCAAGTGCAGCAGCAATACTTCAGACTTACTAGTTTCTATGGGTTCACATATTTTAAATTTCTTAACTCTGATACAAGACTAAATACAACCTCTGTAATATAAGCATATACAAATATAGGGTTATCTTTCTCTGGACCAATGACATTTCTAGCTAAAAACTGTTTCTACATTAAAACGCTTCTCAACATATTTGGTTTATATAAAGCCTTACTTTGCCATCGCTCTATAAAAATGTTAATTTGCAGACGGGACTGGAGGTCAAAACTGAGCAGTCTGATACAAGAAATGTTGGTTTTTTGCATGTAAACAGCATATAGCAGTGTAGGCTGCTAAAGTCCATGCTATTTGGTTTAAAAATAAGCAGTGTCTTCCCACCCGAAACCATCCCCAGTTGGCATACATAATTTTTTGACCCACAAACACTTGGAGAGAGCTATTGGTTATCTACAGTCACTCTTTTACAAAAGGGGTTGGGGGAATAATTCTTCCTTGTCTCATCAAGAAACATGCTCCTTTTTTAAGCTCATTTGGACAAATGTTCAGCAGTTCTCCTCAGAGGTAAACAGCAGCTAATGTGCATCAGTTCTGCACTAGCATTCTGCTTATGAATGCTATCCAGATTCATGCAGCATAGGTATACCATAGCAAGAGGGGCTGAATTTGCCTCTGAACAACTTAGAGGTAACTTTCCACAAAGCAGCTTTTGCTCTTTTTTTTTTTAATGACAAACAAGCTAAATACAGTATTAGTACTGAAGCACAGTACTGTAGTAAATACGAAGTAACAGACATATTCATTTCCTGCATTCAGAGGTGCTTAGTCATCAGTAAAATTTATACAGACAAGTGAGAAGAAAAAGCAAGGCAGTTAAGAAAAAGATTAATGCAACTTAACAATAAAATAATCTACAAAATAAATTTAATTGAAACCAGCCATCAGAAAGAAAGAAATGGAACTCTTATTCACTGGCTGTTTAAAACCTGTGCATTGCACCAGTATAGTGCTTGTGAACAGAACAATTCTATACTGTTTTACAGATGAACTTGGATGACCCTGGAACTGCTTTGCTGCAACCAAACATGGAAGGGGTAGTAACGTTGACCAGGCAACACCGGCTTGGCAACATACAGCCAAGCACTGAGCAAACTTGTGCAATGCAGCTTGCCAATAGCTTCACGGTCTTCAGCTCTTGGGTACCCAGGCAGCAGCTGGTCATCTTGCTGAACTGTACTATATTTTAGCTAGATTTCTGCAAGTCTGCAATCATCTTGTTTTCTACTACTGAAGCAGTTTTAGAAAAGGGTATGTTTTGTACTTGTATTAAGCGTATCAAAAAACTGGGTATGTTCTACTTGCATTCCTCACCTCTGTCTTCTGTAGGTTAAATGGCAATTAATACTTTAATTCTGTAAATGCTTAAGCATGTGCATACGCATTTGTAGGATCAGTACTTTAGAACCTCAACTCACTGAGGTAAAAAAAAATAAAAATACAATAACTACAGCCTTGTACTTGAGCAGCATTAACTGAAAGAAATGGTAAAATTTAAATTACTTGAGAGGTTGTTCAGAATCAGGAGCTGCCTTAGTAATTGATTTTTATTTTATTTCATTTCTAAGTTAATTTTACCTATGAAGAACTGTGCTTAAAGCTGTAGTCTATGCTACAGCCAGGCACCTCTTCTACAGCTTTTACTGTGCATTCTCCTCAGCATAGTGTGAAAAAGGTCTAACTTACCAACTTGACAATAATTTTTTCCTCCTATTTTGTCTGCAGCAGATAATTTAGCAGCCTGGGGAACAATCTGACTTCCAATTATTGTGTGTAGAAATGCAATAGTGCATAATATTTCATGCTATTTATGTGACATTACAATCTGGTATTTTAAGCAATCCCAAAAGCATTGAAGAATCTGAGAAGCTAGAGAACATTAGGGTTTTTTTATAAAGGTGTCTTTCTGGATCTTTACAACATATTTCATGAAAACAAACGTGCCAGGCAGTACTTCTGACATCATGACACTCCTCTCAAAAAAGATATATAAGCAAATCCCAAACTTTCAACTCATCTGCTTTTCTTTTGCTCCTATGGTAAAATTACTGGTAGGTATAACATACTAGTTCACTCTTAATACTGCAAAGAGGGCTACAGAGCTGTGGATACCTGTACATAACAAACTGATCAAATACAACTCTCTTCAATCTAAAGAACAAAAAAGCAAGGACATTCCCCACACTGCTAACCCATCAAAATCAGTGACACACAATTATAGGAAACTGCATCCTGGTAGCCACCCAGAACTATAAAACCATGATTCAAAATGCAAGCACTGGAGCAACGCTGTTTACCTTACCTTGTTCAACAACGTTTGTTGACATGTCATCATAGGATCATACTGCATTTGATCCACACAGCTGGGCTGTGCTTCTTGCGTGCACTGGTACATGGAAACAGCGCCTGCGTAGCATGTTTGAGGAGTTAGCGTAACAGATTCAGAGTTCATCCCACACTCAGGATTTTTGGGAACTTGGTGCAAGCAACTGAGAAAATCCTCCAAGTTGGAAGAAGCAGAATAGGTTGATCTGTCAAAACCTGCTAAAGGGAAATCCATTTGAGAAAAATTAGAAAGCTGTGGCATCATTGCTGTGGGTTGCTTGTAAGGCATAAACTCTTGCCTACATGCATACGGGGAAGTGTTTACTTCTGATTTGTAAGTGAACTCGGATGTAGTTGTATGCATGCCAGGGAATTCATATTGCTGGGGCTGCTGCTGCGAGCAGCTATGCGGCATGCTAGTGCCAGAGCTCCAATTTGTGAACATCCCATTGACTTGCATATGTTTCATCTTTTGACAGAGTTGCTGCTGCTGCTGCTGTTGCTGCTCCATGAACTGTTTCTGGTGCTGATGAAACTGATGTGGATCTAACTCTGGCTGTACCAAGCAACCTTCATTCTGGACCAAGGACTGCTGCTGGTTACAGCCTGAGTATAAGAAGTCAGACTTATTTAAGGAATCCTGAACATAAGTCAGGATTTCATCAGTTATGTTAATATCCCCAATATCAACCACATCAGATATTTCTGTTTTAAAAAACTCATCCTGCTGAATACACTTTAGATCTTCAAAGTCGATACCCAGATTTTTCATGATGTTGTACAAATCACTGGTTTTGTTATCCTGAAAGAGTGCTGCACTGTCTTCAGGGAGAGGAACAGTATTGTCCTGGGAAGACTCCATTATCTCCCGCTTGAGAATATTGTCATTTCCAGCAGGTAGGAGATTATCTATCCAGCTGCTGCTAACACCACTACCCAGTTCATCCCTGCTGTCTGCAAAGAAGTTCCGCTCAAAGGAAAGTTTATGTGACGCTGGAGGGCAGAGATACACAGACTCATCTTGCCTTAACATGGCACCTAGCAGGGAGTTTGGATCCACAGAATCATTTTGTAGCGTTGCTTTGGTTCCTTTTCCTGTTGTGCTTCTATTCTTCGGCTGAGAAGGATCCGTAAGGCTCAACATAGGAAAAGATACCTCATATAACACAGCCTCACCAGTGGCAAACATGAAGGGCAATTTCATGTTACGCTTCCGGAGATGTTCTGCCCCTTCTTCATCTCTGAAAATAAATCAGACATATAGCATTATATTGCAGTACTAAGCAGTTACTGTAGTCTTCTTGTCCCCTGGAATTAATATATATAAAAAAAAGAACTATATTTGTAGGCATTTTTCAAATTCCTAGCTACTCAAGCTCAACTTGGCTGAGTTAAACCAAGAGGCAGATTATGATATAAGGAGCTTATGATTGTAATAGCACATTTATATATTACATTTGTAATTAAATCTAGATAGCATACACCATTTTTTGTGCATTATGAGCTGAAATGAAAATAAGTGGGCTTTGTTTCACACTTCGCTTTTCTTGGCATACCAAGTAAATGAATACTTCAACACTGAAGTATCTCTCCATTTTACAGACTCCTTAGCAAAAATTATTTAACCTGTGTAATAATCATGCTGAATTCCATACTATGCAGAATTTAGTTCAGCACCATAAAGGACTTAATTTACGTTATCTGCTGTTTTTTCTATACAACTGCAGTTGGACTGCTTAATTCTCATTAATGAGGATACCGTATTAAAAATAGGGCTGGATGGAGTAACATGATGCTTGTATCCCTGCTCTCATTCTTCATATGAAATAAAAATGTCTAAAATTTTACCCATAAAGGACTATGCCACACAAAGTACTGAAATAACAGAATTATTTTCAATAATTCAATATTTGTCTGTTAGCAAATTGAAGGAGGCTTTCTTTTTGGAGTTCAGGTTCTAAAGGGGGTTTATTTAAACATAAATAATTCATTTCTGAATATAAGCAAGCTCAAAAGTTTTCAGTTTTTGAAGTATACTGCTTCACAGAATGATGACTTACGTAAGAGGTCTTTGGGTAGAAATGATGTAATCCGGTCTTCCATTCTTGTAGACAAGACGGGCATTTGCCTGCACCCAGGCCCATCGATTTTCTTTGGTTAGAAGCCTAAATACAGTCATTCCACTCTCACCTGTCTTCATCACTAGAATCAGAGTAAGCATACTGTTTATTGTCCAGTGAACAAAAACAAGAAAATCTGGTATGTCATGAAAGTACTCCCATTTGTACATCAATTTTACAAATCTCATGTCCTCAATCAGACATTTCTCTACAGCACTAATTATTCTTAGTGAAACAGGATAACTGACTACTTTAAGATGCCTACTTTAATTTACTGGTAAGATAAAAGCCAAACTGCAGGCAATTGTCAGAGATCCCCTACAGACTGGCAACTGTAGGGGTCAACATCCTGTACTGAGCTTCATCCATTATTTCTGCAACAACAGAAATAAATACTAGAACATGTAAATGACAAGAGCTCAAGTCTCTTCTACATCTGAAAAGTGACTATTACTTAAGAAATCAAGAAATCATTCATTTGCTCAATCAAGAAATCATTCATTTGCTCTGAATCCAATTCTTTCACATTTTGACTGATTAATGCAGAGCTACTTCAAAATCTGTTATTTTTCATTTCCACTATCACTTCACTGGCAGTGCTTGATAAAAACACTACATTTTTGTTGTACATAGCTGAAAACACTGCATTCATAGATAGAAAATGTGAATAAAAAATAAGATGAGAAAAGTTTAAGAATCTTCAAATAATCTTTGCTATATGACTTCATTTTATCTTAGCATGAGAAATGCAAACCAAAAAAAAACAGTTTTAAGACAAAGTTTTAAACCATAATTTCAAAACAGATTTTCAACCCATTCTATTTTGGAAATCTTTCTTATTCCTTACTAAAAAAACAAAATTACGGATAGACAAAAGGGACCGAGCTATACCTGAAAGACAAAACATGCTTAATATAGGTTGAAAACTAAGCTACTGAAAGGTTAAAAAGAAAAAGCAGCTTTTTAAGAGAAGTCAGTAGAAAAGAAGAATCACCAAAATATCCTGAAGATGTTTCTGTAACTTCCAAAGACAAGTATGTTACAGCTAACAAAAATGTAAAGAAAGAAGTCCATTCAGTAGTTACATATCAAATAACTGAAGCTTATTTCCTTAGCTTAAAACATTATACTTATCTCCTTAAGCTGCTAACTAAACCAAATCAAGATGCCAAGAATCAAAACCCAAAAGACACTAGCATGCTAAATCAGAGGTTAATTTGTGTTAAAAAAACTTACACAGATATCAGAATACTTTATTTAACTTCCTAACAGGATAGCTATCTCTGAAACAGTCCCTTTGCCCAAAGGAAGTTGTTGAAATAGCAGAAGCTGGACGGAGCAGAGAAGGAAGTGAGAAAAGCAAGATATAACAGAAACTGAAGTATGTAACCTAAAGGGGTCTAGATATTAAATATTAATTCATCCAGTGTAAGTTTTTATAGGGAGGAAAAGATCACATGAACAGTGTTCTTTTTGTTAATAACTTTTTTAAAGAGTAGTTCACAGTACTTTTTCAGTACAAATATAATACATGCTTTAATTTTTCAGCCTTTCTTAGGGAATGAAGCTTACTTCGGACATGATTTTCAGCACAATAAAGCATATCAGCCGCATGAATAAACTGGTATCCCGTTCCTCTCATACATAGCTCTGCTTCAGTGTATCCCAGGACAATCTTTCCTCTGGAAAGTAAAAACAAAAAATTGCAACACTACTGATGAACCAACTCACAGAATTAAAGTCAGGCAAGAACATTTCAGATGCAAGTGCTAACTGCATTTTGTTGCAATACCAACTGTATGCAGAAGCATGATGGTTCTAAAAGGAAAAATGCGTTAACAAATAAAAATTTTTAGTAGTCCCCCAGGTTGCCTGCAGTGACTAGGAACGGGCTCGCAAAATTATCACATCATCCAAAAAAAAAAAAAAAAAAAGAGGATGTCTACAGTTCAGCTGGACTCCTGATTTCATACTTTTGAAGATACTCACTAATAGCAGGCAGCTCCCATCTGTTGCAATGAAAGACACTGCTTAGCCCCATTTCATAGCTTTTACCTACAGGTGCTTGCATGCAGAAATAACCAGGGGCTTAACTTTAGTCACATAAAACTTTTTGGCTAAATTAGTACTTTTAATAGCTTAAAATTCAAAATAGGGTGTATTTCAGAACTACATGCCTTTTGCTATTGTTTTGGGACCCCTGCACAAGATATACCTCAGAGGAGCACAGGCAATATCACATCTGACCCTGGTAGTCAAAAATTACTTTCCTTGAGGTCAGAGAGATGAAAAACTTAACAGTATCCGTTAAAGAGACTAAAACAGAATTTGGAACAAAGAAACAGAGATCTGAAGACAGAGGGAGGAAAAATAGGAAAAAGGGTTGGGAAACAGTATATGCAAAAGTATAAAATGTGACAAAAATTGAAGGTTTCAAGTGAAACATAAAGGAAAAAAAATCAAACAGAAGAATGAAAAGCCTGTGTTAACATTTTGTTAACTTTTACTTGTGTCAGTTTATAGAACCCATAGAACATTTTGGTTTATCGACAGACATAATACCAAGTAATTTGACTACATTATCCCATAAGTAGGCATGGAAAGCCATATGAGAGTCCACTGAAAATGAGTCAGAAACCTGAAAGCACTGTCAGTCAATAACAGGAGGGAGGAGAGAAGGAAGGAAGGAGACAAGAGGCTTCTTTTTTTTATAAAGAAGCACCTTAATGGGCTTCTTGCCATGTTGATGTTATGTAACGTTGACCTGGTAACACAATAGTATTTCCAGTATTTACACAGTGAAAAGAATGACTTGGAGATGGGTAAAGCCACAGCACAAAAAAAAGGACTTAATTTATTTTGAAGTAAATAACATCTCCATTGTATTTTACATCTATTTGAGTTGAAGGAGAAATAGTTGGGTTTATGTGTGTGGGGTTTGGGTTTTTTTGGGGGGGGGGGGGGGGAAGAGGGCTGTTTGGTGTGTAATGATTGATTCAAAAGGCAATATGCCCTTTCAAGGAAGTATACTGACAAAGACAAAAATCCTACAGTTCCAAAACAATCATCAGTATTGACTGCAAAAGTAGCCAGCTTTACATTTCAAATACATAGATGAAACCTATCTCAAGCAAATCATAAGAGTATTAGGCAGAATAATTTACACTTACTTTGCATCACAGCCAGTAGGTGTGAAATCCAGTTTGTGTTTAGTTCTGAAGATGAAGTTTTTGGTTCGTATCTCAAGGATAGATGGTGGCTGCAGGGGAGTAGCTACTGCAAACAGAGCGAGCTGAGGAGACAGAGAAGCACCATCCTTCCCTTTCTTGTTCTGTCCATGGAGAAACTTTAACCGTCCTTGAAAATTCATAGCCTTATGATAAGGGAAAAAGTAATAGTTACGTGTTGGAGATATTTAAGAATAAAATATTTCTGTTATGATGCAATATATACATTTACCCTTTTTTAGACCCATATGATTCAAGCTTTGTAGCATCACATACACAAATGCTAGCTACAATACAGAACACTGTAGTTATAGCCCTGAGCATATCACTTTGAGATCTACTAATACACTCACTGGAAAAAGAACTAACAGAAAGTTAGCAAAAACCTGGATTTTCTAATATTCTGGTAAACACGGTATACATACCCACAGTTAACATGAAATTATTTCTCTTGCATTTGTCAGTCATTAGTATGAAGTATGCAAACATGTACAACTGCAAAATCCTACATAAACAACTCTATTTGTAAGAAGTCACCTACAGGATGATAAAGTCACATTTCTTTTAACATCTCCAACACTGACAAACAGAAAAAAAAAAAGTATTAGAAAGAGCAAGTACAGTCTTTCTGAACTAAGGGAAAACTATGGCTCTATTAGTTATTAAGACTTACCGCATCTCAGGATACTCAACATAAAATAATTTTTGTAATGATTCTTTATCTGCAAATCACACAGTACTTTACAAAAGCAGATGCTTATTCATTTTTCATTGAACAAACTGAGCCGTGAGAAATGAGAGAACTTGCACCTGGTTGCAACATGTTGAAGGGGACAAATTTAGTGTCACTAACTCAAACATACTGGTTCAAGCAGCTCGGATAGCTATGAAGACTTAACAAATAAAGCAAGTTGCTGCACTTATTGTAAACACAGTCAAGATTTCCAACTTGCAAGCATATGTGGAAGTTTTTTACACAACTCCATACTCACCAGGAACCCAGATGAATTATCCAGGAGGCATCGTAACCTGCAGATGAAATTTCTTTCCATAAAGGAAGAATTCTCTGGAGGAAGTTGGTCTGGGTTATAATAGGTTGCTGGCTGTGAAAAGCCATTATCTCCTACAGGAAAGGATTGTTTATAAGGATTATTTTTAGAAGAACACCTACTGAAGGCTATCTATAACAAATCATCTTCTGTCTCATAAACAAAGCATTAGGTCATGACCTGAGCAAGAACAATGTAAACTGGAAACATCCTCAGAACCTATACTGATTATAACACCAGGTTAAGTACCAGTTCTTCTGATGGGAGTAGGTTTTACAGTATTTGAAAACTGCATATGTTTAGTTTTGGTTTGGTTTTTTCTTTTTTAATTTTCTTTTTTTTTTTTAAGTCATGGGAGTTTTTGAGTTTTGTTTGGCTTTTTGTTTATTTTGATTTATTATGTATGTCAACAGTCTAGACTCTATAGCAGTTGCAGAGAGCACACCAGCATTTCTGCAACTTCAGAATCTGCAAAAGGCATAGCAACTATAAGAAAAAAGAGACTCAAACCCATGATTGACAACTAGGATACCAACATGATATTCTTCTGCCACTTCAGGACAGGCTTTTGTTGCTAAGTAGCATTTAGAAACAGACTTAAACATTTGGAATATAAAGTAAAAACAGGAGGTAAATCAATAAACTTCTGATAGAATACGTATGTTCTGCACGAGGCTACGTATCATACCTACTACAGAGACTACAGCGAGACCAGAGCATGTCTACTCACATTAAATTTAGCAAAGTGATCTTGTTTCTAATATATATATGAAAAATGCACAAACTGGTCATTCCCTAGAAATTCATGCAGAAAATTAAATAAAAACTGGTGGGCATGCCCTTCAGCTTTTCTGCCATAGGAACAACTCAGTGTTATCCTTTTGGTAATTACAGAGCTGGAATTTGAATGCAAGTATCTTATCTGGGTTCCCTAAAACATCTGTCAGCTTCCTGAGGAAAACTGGAAGCTCCCAAGAGTGAATAGGTGGAAGAAGCAACACCATCTGTGGCTCGTGAGAAGAGATGAACAGAACTCAAAACAGGAGGGAATGTGCTTCAAGCCCAAACCTACATTTGTGAAAGGCACACACTTTCCCAGGCAGACAAGAGGCAGAGAGGTATTGCTGCCAAGATCTTGGGAGAAGTGACACTGTAAGACAGTAAAGTGTCTTGCAGCGCATCTGCAGTCCCTGGAGCAAAACTATCAGTCAACACTGCAGGGACCAGAACTCGCATCCCTCATGAGCTCACACTGTATCTCATCAACTCCATGAAGTGATGTGCAGATGATGCTGTGCATTAAGTCATTTTCTTTCTCTATAAGCTCAAGATCATAGATGGTGGTATAGCAGGCAAACTTTAGAAGATAATCTCCAGACCTGAGGCCCTGAAGCAGGTATCTGGGACTGAAAAAACAGAATTCTGCAGACTTCTCTGGGAATATAACAGGACTGGGAGGAGAGTCCGGGAGGAGTCACAGTAACAGCTGAGGAAACCAGTGGTCTAGGGGCATACCCCAGGGTATTGAGTGAGAAACAACCAGTCTGGGCTAACTGAAGCAGAATTAGTTCCCAGACTCAGGATGGAATCTGTGCTTAAGCCTGAGTCCAATTATATCTATAAATATCTACATAATGCTAGCCGAACCTATTAAAAAGGAATTGATTAAAGTAGCAGGAATGGAGTAGATCCTTATGATCACAGCATTATCCTTTGTTATAAATCTGAACTTAGTTTAAAAATCCTCAACATCCAAACATTTTACATTACTTGAGGCCCAAAAATAATTAGCAGCTTTTAGTCAGTTGGGAACACAAGGTACAAAATAAACAACTGTTTGTAATCCTGCTCACCACTTCCCATTATTCAGTCAAATCTGATGCCAAGTTGACTTGGCATCATACTTTTCAAATGCAACCTTTTGTAAATTAACATGCACTTGCTTAAGTGCTATAGAACACTGTTTCACTCTAAAGCACACAGTAAACCAACACATAAAAGCCCCATTTCTGAATGGCAGCAGCTGCTTGCTCTACCAAGCTGCAATATTAACTAGTTGCATAGCATGTTTTCAACTGGACTGTGTAGATAGGTGATGTAATAGGCGCTCCACAGGCAGTGTAACAATGTTGACAACTAAATGAAAGATTGAAATCTACTGAGCTGTGAGAAAGTCAAGTTAGTAACACTGGGTTTTATTTCTCTGTCAAATCACAGCATTTCCATACTCTAAAATATTAAATATGAAACTATTATGAGTTCTAAATCAAGTTGCTTTATGAATTGTAGATTTATTAAAAAATAACATGGACTTTTTCTTTATTAAACCCAATAACCTGTAACCAAGTAACTTACAGTAACAGTTTTATCTACATATTTAAACAACTGTTGTGCAAAATGGAGCATTGTTGAGTTGTCTCAGCAGTTTTGTTGTCATCATGAGACAAGCATATGCTTCCCAAGTTATACATCACTACCTGTACCTATACATCTCTGTTCTGATAGATAGTAAATGTGTTTCTCTTTAGTTGTTTCTCACTGTAGCAGGTCATTTAAGCATCAGCCAATAACATGTGATAAACTGATGCTCTAACAAGCATACCATTTGGTCTTAAAGGCTCGTGTATTTCATCTTTCATTTCTCTTCCTTTCTTATTCCCAACAGAAGTGCTGGTCCATGTGGTAGCCTGCATATAATACTGACAAATGTAGACGACAACGTTCCTTGTCCTTCCACATTAACACTGTAGCTAGCACATTCTTAGTTACAAGCAGATCTACCAGCCTGCAGAGCTTAAAGAAGCTGTCATATCCAACTGTCTGCTGGCCTTCCTAAGGTAAAAAAATCTGGTGCCATGATATGTGACCAAGGGTAGCAGATAAAAAAGGGAGATCATTACTTCAGAGAAATCACTTTCTCATTCAAACAACTATTTTAAGACAAGCCTTACAACTGAGGGTGAACACAGAAAAAATCAAACTACCTTGCTTATTATGTCACCAAAAGAAACTATCCACTTCTGAGTACCCTGTTTGCCACATGAACAGGCAGGTACCTGCTTTGCTGTTTACCACAGGACAAACTGATCAGACATGCAAGACAGTAACTTATGATCCAAATTAAAGTCTTCCAATTTAAAGTATAATTAGTATTTTAATGGTGCTGTGCTATAAATCGCGGTGCTTACCTAAAGTGTAAAAAAATTTTAATTCCTATTTTTAACTAAACATAGCTAAAATTCAGTAAGTTTAAAAGATGTTATTCCTTCATTACTACAAAATATTTTTTTTTTCTTCTTTTATATGCAGAGATTAAAAAACCCTAAACACTAATCAGCAGGAAAACACAAAACTTGAGTGCATTCTCACCTTGTATGCTCGGTCCAGAATCTCCAGACTGGGCAGGATTTAATGCCCAATGTAGCTGTCGTTGAAACTCAGGTCTGTCTTCTGTGTGAATCAATTCAAATACACTCTGATGTATAATATCAGACTACATACAAAGAGGAAAAAGGTGGGAAAGAGAGAATAAGAAACTTGTATGACAATGTGTGATATAAATTCCCTGACCGGTAATGCTGCTACAGATTTAACAAAATCCATTTTGCTCAGAGATAAGAACATACATTTGCATGCACATGGAAAAGCTTTGTGAAACAATTTTTAGCAGCACAGACAATAACTCAGCCACGCCCATGACTGCAAACATAAGAAATAATAATTAAAAAATACTACCTTAGAAAAAAATACCATCATGTCAAGTATTTCTTTATCTGCTTTTATCTAAGCAAGCCTGGAACTGTTATGTTTAAGGTTTAAATCACTTAACTTTACATACTTGTAAATAAAGTACTTGACAGCTGTTACTTGGACCTGCAGGGATACAAAGGAAGCCAACACTTCCAGAACTAAGCCAAGTAGATTATGAACACTGGTTTTGTTTGCATGAAACACCTCTTTATGTGCGAGAGCAGCTACAATGCGTTGAGTTCTGTCCGGGGACAGATGACGAGCGAGTTGAGAGTCTGTGGGTGAGAATTAAGGGGCAGGCTGGCAGGGGCGATACTGTTGTGGGGGTCTGTTACAGGCCACCGGATCAGGGTGAGGAAGTTGACGAGGCCTTCTACAGGCGGCTGAGAGCGGCCTCACAGTCACAGGCTGTGGTCTTTGTGGGGGTTTTAACTTCCCTGATGTTTGCTGGGAGGACTGCTCAGCAACCCAGCTGCAGTCCAGGAGGTTCCTCCAGTGTATAGATAACTTCCTCATGCAAATGGTGGATGAGCCAACCAGAAGAGGTGCGCTGCTGGATCTCATCCTCACTAACAAGGAGGGTCTGGTTGAAGGAGTGAAGGTTGAGGGCTGCCTTGGTTGCAGCGACCACGAGATGGTAGAATTCAGGATCTTGTGTGGTAGGGTCAGTAGAATAGCAAGTAGAATCGCAACCCTGGACTTTAGCAGGGCAAACTTTGGCCTCTTCAAGCAATTGCTAGGGGAAATCCCATGGGCTAGGCTGCTTGAAGGTAAAGGGGCCCAAGATAGTTGGTTGATGTTCAAGGACTGCTTTTTCCGAGCTCAAGATCAGAGCATCCCGACATGTAGGAAGTCAAGGAAGAGGGTCAGGAGACCTGCGTGGCTAAATAGGGAATTGCTGGGTATGCTGAAGTGGAAGAGAAGAGTTTACAGGTCATGGAAGGAAGGGCTGGCCACTTGGGAGGAATATAAGGCTGCTGCTAGAGGATGTAGGAAAGCTGCTAGGATGACTAAGGCCTCCTTGGAATTAAAGCTGGCAAGAGGGGTCAAGGACAGCAGAAAGAGCTTTTTCAAATACATGGCAGGTAAAACTAACACCAGAGGCAATGTAGGCCCGCTGATGAACGGGACGGGTGCCCTGGTGACAGAAGATACAGAGATGGCAGAGTTACTGAATGCCTTCTTTGTCTCTGTCTACTCTGCTGGAGGCAGTCCTGAAGAGCCCTGTACCGCTGAGACCTCAGATGAAGACAGGTCAACGGAGCGGTTTGCCTTAGTCGATGAGGAATGGGTTAAAGACCAGTTGAGCAATCTGGACATCCATAAATCCATGGGTCCAGATGGGATGCACCCGCGGGTGCTGAGGGAACTGGCGGAGGTCATTGCTAGACCGCTCTCCATCATCTTTACCAAGTCTTGGGAAACGGGAGAGGTGCCTGAGGACTGGAGGAAAGCAAATGTCACTCCTGTCTTCAAAAAGGGCAAGAAGGAGGACCCGGGTAACTATAGACCGGTTAGCCTCACCTCCATTCCTGGGAAAGTGATGGAACACCTTATCCTTGGTGCCATCTTAAGGCATATCAAGGATAAGAGGGTTATGAGGGGCAGTCAACATGGCTTCACCAAGGGGAAGTCATGCTTGACCAATCTCGTAGCCTTTTATGAAGAAATAACACGGTGGATGGATGATGGCAGAGCGGTGGATGTGGTCTACCTTGACTTCAGCAAAGCATTTGACACAGTCTCCCACAGCATCCTCGCAGCTAAATTGAGGAAGTGTGGTCTGGATGATCGGGTAGTGAGGTGGACTGTGAACTGGCTGAAGGAGAGAAGCCAGAGAGTTGTAGTCTGTGGGGCGGAGTCTAGTTGGAGGCCTGTATCTAGTGGAGTGCCTCAAGGGTCGGTACTGGGACCAGTATTATTTAATATATTAATCAATGATTTAGATGAGGGAATTGAGTGTACTATCAGCAAGTTTGCTGATGACACTAAGCTGGGAGGAGTGGCTGACACGCCAGAAGGCTGTGCTGCCATCCAGTGAGACCTGGACAGGCTGGAGAGTTGGGCAGGGAATAACTTGATGAAATATAACAAGGGAAAGTGTAGAGTCCTGCATCTGGGCAGGAACAACCCCAGGTTCCAGTATAGGTTGGGGAACGACCTGTTAGAGAGCAGTGTAGGGGAGAGGGACCTGGGGGTCCTGGTGGATGACAGGGTGACCATGAGCCGACACTGTGCCCTTGTGGCCAAGAAGGCCAATGGCATCCTGGGTTGTATTAGAAGGGGGGTGGTTAGTAGGTCGAGAGAGGTCCTCCTTCCCCTCTACTCTGCCATGGTGAGACCTCATCTGGAATATTGTGTCCAGTTCTGGGCCCCTCAGTTCAAGAAGGACAGGGACCTGCTGGAGAGAGTCCAGCGCAGGGCAACTAAGATGATTAAGGGAGTGGAGCATCTCCCTTATGAGGAAAGACTGAGGGAGCTGGGTCTCTATAGTTTGGAGGAGACTGAGGGGTGACCTTATTAGTGTATATATAAAGGGGGAGTGTCACGAGGATGGAGCCAGGCTCTTCTCAGTGGCAAACAATGATAGGACAAGGGGAAATGGGTACAAACTGGAACACAAGAGGTTCCACTTAAACTTGAGAAGAAACTTCTTCTCAGTGAGGGTGACGGAACACTGGAACAGGCTGCCCAGGGAGGTTGTGGAGTCTCCTTCTCTGGAGACATTCAAAACCCGCCTGGACACGTTCCTGTGTAACCTTATCTAGGTGTTCCTGCTCCGGCAGGGGGATTGGACTAGATGATCTTTTGCGGTCCCTTCCAATCTCTAACATACTGTGATACTGTGAAAGCTTTGATGGTTCTTAATGATGCATTAAAATCTGTAATTATTAAGTACTCATATCACTGTCAGTTGCATAGTTAGGGTTGTGAATCTAAATGGTGAAGCTGCAACAGCCAGGAGCAGTGGTTGAAAGAAATTAAGAGACAAAAAGCCCACCCAAAATATTCAAGAAAAGCCTCTGTCAACTCAGAGGAGTTAAACTGCTCATTTTCTGCATGCATGGAAAATCCAACCATTATATAAACAGAAAGTATTTAAAATAAAACATAGATCTAAAGAAATTAGATGACTGGCAAAAGCAGACGCCTAGCTCAAATTCTGCTGTAATGAATTTTATAAAAGAGTCAGTATTTTCCAGAATAAATTGCCAGAAATGCTAATTTTTGTCACTTTAAGACTTCACTCCTATAACATGCACTTGATTTATTGGCATTACTATACAAATTTTACGGCCAATTTGTTTTCCAAGCATTTTTCTTCATTTCCCAACACCGAAAGAATCTGTAACCCCAGGAAAAATAACGTTTTGTTTGGAATATTTTCTTCTATACAAATATTCCCAACCTCTTATCAGTTAGTTAAAAGTGCAGAACACGTGGAGTTTCTCCCTATTTTTTAGAGAGCAACTGAATCTATCATGAACCAGTACCCAAAGACATAACCCAATAACTGTAACTAACCTTTTATCTTCTTAACATAAACTAATCCCAGGAGTTCCCTAGAGGAAGGCAATGTGAGCCCCCTGGGTCTTGGTCTTTACTACTCTGGTACGTGGCTTGCAAGCCCAAGGAAATTAGCCATGTGATCTGCATCATAAACTGTAAATAACAAATGCTGCTTTGAAATAAATAAATAAATAAGCAAATAAATAAATAAATAAAGTAAATATTAACAAGAAAAAACTAAAATCATAAAAATACTAAAATCACTGAGTTGATACTTAGAGCCTCAGGGCATATGAAGTCAATTTTGTATGAAGGGTTTCTACTAATATAATTACCTTCCCATTGAATTATGTCTCACTCAGCATCATAAACTGGGTAACATCACAATATTACATTTCAAACAGTTGTTCCAGTAAAGCCTAATTAAGTGTGAAAATTTTATATCTCGCCTAACTCAACTTTGAGAACTATATTCCTGTTGTGCTTGGCCTGAGGTCCCATTTCAGCTATGTAAACTGATAGAAAAGTAATATAGTTTCAAAGTAACCCAACACAAAGTATCTAACAGACTTCTGTTATATAAGCTATTAGACCCTAAATGTGAACAGTTGTGCCCTCTGAAATTAAGAAAAAGTACTGCAAAAAGAGGAAATGATAAACTTACTTGTTGGAACCCCAAGTAGTCTTGGATAGTAGAAGAGACATAAAAAACCACAGCATCGGCCGTAACAACTAATACAAAACCATTTAATGCCTGGGGAGGAAACACCAATATGTCAGCCTCAGAGACAAAATTCCAGATAATTGCTGTGGCTGTAAGTCTTACCTATGCTTTAGTCTCTCAATAAAACATGAAGCACACAAAAACTTATTAACAGCACAAACATTAGCATTCTTCATTGCATCTCCCTATAGTACACATGCCACAATGAAGAAAATTGCTTCTAATGAAGGAAAAATGGATAACTGGAAAATTCAGGAAGAAGCCAAACCCAGTTGATGACTTTTAATACCCTTGATTGTAGGAGATGAGGGACAACAGCAAGAACAACCATAAGTTTTATCTAATATCAACCACAGCTCATAAGGACTGTGCAGCCCAAGCCTTCGGCACACGCTGCTGCCCACTGCACAACCGGGAGCTATGTCACAACCCCATTCCCCAAATCTGTTCTATTCATAGTGCAGACGGGCCTAAGTGGACAGGAAATCAAGCCATCAAGAGCTCCTATACAGTCCAAGAAAACATTTTATAGCTTACTTAAAATAGAAAGCCTCTGCACAAGTGGACTGTTGCAAGTAAACAATGTTTTTGAAGAGATTTCCCCCTTCATGAAGCAACAGACTAAGCGGCTCCTTGCTCAAAGTCACGCAAAGGGCATTTATCTGAACTCCAAATCAATATGGTTCACAGCAATTGTTCTGATACCAAACAGTACATTTGTGACTTGGCAGCTCATCTGAAAGGTGCTGATTTACTTCTACGGATTTCAGTCAAGATTTAACAAAAGGCTGTCTCGAGGGACCAGATTAAGTATATTGTGCCACTTAATTTCCTCAGCTGCATTCAAAGCAAAATTTGGCCAGCATACTCAAAACACATTTTTTCTGAAACTCTTTATTATGCAAAAATGTAACAGAAAATGTAAAGTAAGTGAAGGATATCCTATCTTACTGTAATAACATATTTTTTATTATAAACCAGCATGATTTTTTTTCACAAACATTAACTACCATAGCCCCACACTGTGGTAACAACTATTGCTTTTCCATATTTTTTCTTTTCCATATTTTGCATATTTTCCGTATTTGGCAGAGATACAGTTTTACAATTTCTTGTTCTTTTGCTAAGACAGTCTGAGTTAAGTCAAGTTAATATCTGATTAAATGACTGGTCTTTAAATGATGTGAACCACTCCTATTTAACATGTAGATATTTCTTAATCTAGTCTCATAAATAACTGTGAGCTCAAAATCTCCTTATGGAAGTTTAGTGAAATTTACATGAATACAGTATAAGCTAAGAAAAAAAAATTAATAATAACCTGAAATTAAACAGTGTAGCCGACCCAAGAAATCTTAAGTAGTTACATAGAAACCTTGGTTTTGATCAAGTTTCCAGTAATTTCCAAGGAGCAAAAGGCTGCCACAGCAGGTGCTTGTGTCCTCTGCTGACCTAACCTGCAGGGCTTTTCACCTCAGATTGTTGATATAAAAAGTCTGAAAGCTGTACAGTATATAATTCTGACCCATATGTTAAAATCAGTTATTCTGCTCTGTTTCATGTAAGCTTGTACAGCTCCTGCACCTGGAATTCAAACACATTTTACAGTGGCCTGGTATGCAGTTCATCTTGGAGCAGGATTGTTAATGCTGCAATCAGACGCCTTCTGTAAGCCAAAAATTCTGTAAAATGCAAGTTGTCCACACATACAATGCAACAAATTACTGAAGTTCCTTAAACCATGCAGATATACCAGTAAATGGGAGATAAGTTCTGATGGCAGTTTGGCAAAATGCAGTGCTAAAATAATAATCTTAAAAGGCATAATGGAATTTCTCAGTGATTTTATTATTCTGGAGCACTGGAAATAATATTTGCGCTGCTTTAAAAATAGTCTCAATATTTCTAATATAAAGGCAATCATAAAACTTTAATAACTCCCACTCAGAAGTCATGAAAACCTAAATTTCATATCAAATAGAAACCTCAAATACAAATTTTAGATCATTTCTGTTTAAAAGAAAGCTGTTCATCTGCAGTAACTTCCTAACAGTTCCTTGTCATACTCTATTAAGGTTTGAAAATTACATACATGTCCTAGTTTTTTAGTTGGTCAAGAGACAACTTTCAAGTAGCATTAGTTTACAGTAAATATTTTGTGGGATTCTTAGAACCTGTTTTAATTTCTACCCTTTAAACAGTTAACATTAATTTTGTTCTAGGCAAGCCACTGGCTCCAACTGACCTAATGTTTGCCACTTCTGATTGATGCATCTGTGTGAAGCCTGTGTACAAGACAAATTATGAATATATTTCAAATGGAGCTGGTCACAGTAAAATTTATTTTATGAAACTAATTAGAACATTGAAATAATTATATTAGCCATTTACTGAGTTTAATCTGGATGTAGTATTATATTGTTATATTTCATATGCTTTGACAATGTACACCATTAAAGCAGATTGTCAGAAAATATGATTTATAAAAAAACCACCTATGTTTCATTAACATTTTCCAGTTCATATTACTAGAAGTTACGGAAAGTACTTTAAAATTTGTCCTTAACTGGTGTTACAAACCATGCGTTCTTTCAAACCACTGAGGCAGCAAGATATTTCAGCAAGCCCCAAGTCTCTTAGAGATTTCTTTTTAGACAATTAGTGGCCAAATTTACAGTAGATGACTAACCTATCTGACCTTTATGAAAACTGTTTCTCTGGATCTTTGTTAACAATAGATGCAAAGACATAGGAAAAAGAGTCTAAGAAATGACTCAAGAGTTTAGAGACACATGTAGTCTTAACACGCTCTCTTCAAAGTCATTATTAGCACCCGAGAAAGTGCAAGACCTGTGTAATATGAACCTTTAGGTGCATGAAATGAGGAAAATGAGGAAAGAATTGGACAATAATAAAACTTTCTCAATCTCATCAGTGAATAACTGGCACATTAAATAAAACATATATTTTATTTTTATGTAAATATGTGTACAATACATCCACTGCAAAAGATACCTGCAGCAAGAGTTCTCCTTCCAGGATCTGCATTCCTTCTCCCCGTTTTGCTGCTCTACAGTTTTCCTGAATGCCGTTTATCTCTGGTCTGGTAGAGTTAGAAGACTTTAATGCAACTAGAACAAAGAAAGAAAAAAGTTGAGTGATCTCTGAACAGCTCACTAGAAGTTGAGGTGATGATGTGCTATTTTGTGGACGGAAAAACTGTATTTTAAAAACTCAACTATGGTATGACAACACGGTACGGTATGAGGTATACCTCAGCTATAAGCCTGCTCTAGACCTAAAGCTCCCTTCAGAGAAAGGAATGAAAGAAACAGGAACCCTAAATGCATACTACATGCTAAAGAAAACAATGAAATCTATTTAAAACAAAAAGGCTGAGTTCTTTCTGCCATAGCTGATTTTTAAACTGTTTAAACAATTAAGCAAAGTTTCTAACTTCTGATAAAATACTGTAACCATGGATCATTTTTCAGGTTACAAATACATTCAATTGAAAAAAAACCCAAACAAAATTACTCAATGAATAAGGGATGAAGAATCAGACCAAATTGCTACAAAGTACATGAAAGACATCTCTTAATGTGTCTTTTAATAAACAGGATGCTGTTAAGTAAAACTAGATATTCAAAGATTGTCCCTAACTTGGAATTTATCTGCTTTTCACTTAGGTTGTAAAAGAAAAAATAAAAGTCTCTAAATCTGAAATTAGTCTAAGTGGGTCTGCAGCTCCTAAGCAGCTTAAAGATATTTGAGTGACTCTATCTTTACCCATAAAGCTAAACACCACCACTCCCCCCAGAATTTCTAAGCTGCAAAGCAAGTGGAATTTATTAAGGCAGCAGCGCTTCTGTAAAATAACCAATGGCTTATATCAATCAATGAGATATTCACCCTAAATTCCCAATGATTTTTCAAACTGTGGAAAACCTTCATTTTCAGCTGCTCAGAACTCTAGTCAAGTACTCTGAAGAACTCCTGTTTGCTCACTTTTTAACTAAGGTAAATGATAATTTACACTATGTACATTAACTGAAAGATAGATTATTCCTTTCAGGGTTTTTTCAATCTATCACCGCAGCCAACAACTTTCAAGCCAGACAGTTTTCATTAAGATATCCCACAAACACACCGCAGAGGAAAAATAATATTGTAAAAAGACCTTAACTGATCAATCAGTCAGGAATTTATCCAAAGGTTTGCTTTGAAATTAAAACCTTAATACACTTCTTCCTACCATAGAGTCAAAAAGACCTGCAACGGGCCACACAGAATTGCAATTGCAAATTCATTTGAAATTCAAGTGAGTGGAAGATGTAGCAATATTTTTTTCCTAAGCATTAATTTAGAAGGATATCTAGAACGTTCACTAAGTCCCCTTGAAATCCCCCCCACCCCCATGCAATTAAACTTCTTTATTAATATACTTCAAGCAAACATTATAAAAAAAAATGCTAGTATGATTTTAGGTTGACATATATACTACGAGAGTAACAAACAGAAACAACATAGGTCCCTGACACTGAGCAACCCCAGATACCTGGATGAAAAATTTCAATGTGTGGTTTGATATTGTCAAATTGAAGGCTGCCAGATCCCAACAAGTGGCCTTGGGACAAGATAATGGGAGGCTATCTTGTAAGGCAATAATTCTGAAAAGACTTAGTCACAACACACAATGCTGTGGCCTCAGAAATATTAGCTAATGATACAGTAATAGATGATAAGAAGAATTAAAACTAAAAAGTACGACTCATCCAAAGGTAATATTACAGTGAACATTACCTAGTTTAAAATCAGCTATGTATTCTGATACTTCTCATAATCTACGTTATTTAGTCAGACAAATTCCAGTAGTTCACTGCTTTATAATCTTTGAATCCTGAATTAAGTACAACTCACTTCAGCCTATCCCCTCTTAATTTTCAGCCACAGGAAATTAAAACATGAATGCTCCCACAGAGTAAACAGGAAAAAAAATCTGCATGTGTATGCTAAAACACATGAAAAACAAAGAATTTACCTCTCAGAATCTCCCACTAGTAACTTTAGAGCAACAAAATTAAAGTTGTTTACACCTGTTAAAAATCTGCTACACAATTTTAGCAAGAGGGCTAGGCTGGAAACAGTAGCTTTCCAAGTAGGTTAATGCCTGTCTCTTAATTTTATGTCCAGCAACAAGTATCATTTCCATTGCTCAGACTTTCCTGGTTTGAAGTAAAAGATAAATCCCAAAAACAACAGAACTAGCCAGTGATCTTTAACAGGGTTTAGACACAGAACAACATTATGGTTTCTGGTACATTTGTTTTACAGTTATGAAATGTTTTAGCACTCAAAACAGCAAATGTGAAAGATAGTCAGTTTTACATTGTATCTAAAAAGACAAATCAGATAACGGTAACGTCAGTGTTTACCAGCTTCATATCTCTAGTTCTAACTGTTACAGCCAGGTGATGAGAGATTTATACAGAGTTGTAGTGTATTTTAAGAGACTAACAGTATTGTCGGGGGTAGGAGGGGGGCGTGTGAAGTCTGACATACAACTATTTCAGGTCTGAAACAGAATTCCAGAATCCAAGCAATTGAGTTCTACCTACTGCCAAATGCCATCTTTCATTTAATTTCATTCACTGACATAGAGAATTCAGCATAAGGTATACATCAGCATCTATCCAGCCAACTTTCTGATGAGCATTTATACAGAATCTTACTTTAACACACAAATACTCAAGTTGTCAACTTTACTATCACTTCAAGAAAATAATATTGGCAGTTAAACTTCTTAAAGTAATAGAGAGACATTCAAAAACCATTTCAGTACCCCTTCCCATGAAAGAAGTGACAGACCTGCATTACTTGTAAAAATATTCAAAAGGAGTATCAGTAAAACTGAAATCTAATAAAAATGCCTTTAACCTGCATGTGACTACTGCATCATGCAACAGTCAGTTGTCTGGCCCATACAACAGATTAAGATCCCTAGCAGAGTGTATCAGGACACTGGCAATACTCAACTCAGCCAAACCAAGTTCTATTATACTCTTTTCCTCAAATCTAGACACTATTTAATCTGAAGAAAACTGCGTTTTTGCAAAGCATCAGAAAGAACAAAATAAACATGAAAAGAAATAATGGTATTTTTTTCTGTGTTGAATGAATAAAGATTTTTTTCTGACATAAATGAAGGAAATAAACCACATTTGCTGGTATTCAGCTGAGGAGTCTGGAGAGATTATTCTCCACCAAAACCTAATCATTCCCACACCAAATCCTTATTATTATGAAAGGAGTGAAGAAATGTATGATTAAACAGACTTTCCATCTCAATATTCACCTAAACCAGTCACGTGTTAAAAGAGTGCTGAATACAATCTGATTCAGTGATTGCTGTCTGAAAAGTTTCTCTGAAATCATACAAGATACTCTGAAATTAGAACCTTTTCTCTTTCCTACCTTTTCTTTCCCAAAGAAAAAGCATAGCAAAAAGTTTTTGAGGACCCAGGGCAGTTGACCCAACAGAGTTGTAGAGAAACGAATATCAAGATAGAAAATTTTAACTGGGCCTTTTAAAATCATATTCAGATGCAACAAATTACTTAAAACAGGCTGGAGATTATTTTTACTTTTAGGTAAACGATCTGCTAAAGCCTAAAACTGTATTGAAGTAACACTTGCCTAATATCACAAGTATATCGTTAGCACATCAGTCATGCAGTCCTGGAATTTAATCTTAAAGAGCTTCCCAGAACTGCTTTCTATCAAATTTTGGCACAGTTCCCACAATTCAGCCAAACAGGTCAAAGTTTGCAGTCAGAGCCAATGTAGACTGTTTCATAACCTTTTCAGCAGAATTATGAATTCAACTAGTCTGTTCTAGATTACTGTAAAAAACAACAGTTCTGATGGGGGGGGTCTTACTCCCTTCAGCAGCAAATGCTAACCTTCAACATGATCACAACCCAAAACTAGACAAGGAAGGCACTACTGAGAAAACTGAGTTTGATATAAAGCTCTTTTCTAAATCATTAATCTACACTAAACTGTTCATACTGGCAAAGGATCATTTGAAGTAGGAGAAAAAATTACATTTATGCATGTACCTAGGTGCAACCTTTAGCTACCTCCATTACTTAAGATGATATGAAAAATTCGGCACCTGTTATCACCCAGGATGTAAAGGGAAAAATGTTTATGAAAGTTAATAACACAGAGAAAAAAATGCAATCAATGATTCTTTTTGAAAGATAAAACATGCATTGATTGCATATTTTGTAAATAGTTACACTTGTACTAGATAGCAGAAACGGTACATTTCATTAATAAATATGCAAAGGATTGCTCCGTACTTAGAGATACAAGAGAAATTAAATGCAATTCTGAATTATTATAACTGTAACGTTTTAGTTACGTTACACAAAGAGGTAAGACTGACTTCTGTGTAGACTGCATGTACACAGAAAACATGTTGCATATGGAGACTTAAGTTTTACATTTCCTTTCCCTTCATTTATGAATTATGAAAAATGTTCAAGATACCTTTATATTGTATATTTATATCCTACTAAAAGGTGAGCAAGTATTTACACTATTGGAAAAAGCTATGTATGGTAGACATATCCTGGTTTTAATACTGACAAGTTTTCAATACTGAAGAATTCCATATTTCCATTTCCTAATTGCACTATCTTGTCTTCCAACTATTCTGCCAACTATTAACAATTACATTGAGAAGTTGTGATATGCACCAGTCCTTTTTTTCTTATGTGTCTGAAATAATTCAAGGGTAGTCTTCCTTGTAAACTGTAATACATCTTACAATACAGCTTGTAAATTACAGTAAACTGTGAATTGATGGAGGCACAACAACATGTATTTTCCATTACAAACAAAAAAACAAAGCATAAACACATTATTTTAAAAATGCCTCACTATTCTGATATAGTCTGAAGCACTACAGGCAGAAAACAATTCACGAAACTAGTCATGGAAGTCAAATAACCAGATTTTGTAAACATAAGCAAAATAAGGGTGAAATTGTATATTCAGGATACCTTTTTTAAGCATGTGCCAAATTATGACAATACTGGAATTGCTTTCAAATAATGTATTT